GTGAAGAAGGCAGCACGAGCTCATCACGTGAACAGAGAGAATGTTTCAAAATGGAGAGTGACAGAACTCCAAAACATGTGGATATTGTGGATACAAAGTGCATGGCAAACAGGGAAATTGCCCAGCTAAATGCAAACAGTGTACTAAATGTGGAAAATGGAATCACTTTGCAAAAGTGTGCAGAGCTTACCGTGGAAAAACAGTACATACAGTGAGTGAAGATGAAATGTCAATCAAAGAGTCAAATGCTGATGAACTGTTTATTGATTCAGTGACACAGAAAAGTCTGATATCAGAGACCGAGCAAGCCTTTGCTGACATTGAGATAGGAACACAAGGCACAGAGCTAAAGTTCAAACTAGACACTGGTGCACAAGTAAACATTATTCCTCTGAATAAGCTTGACATCTGAGTGCGAGCTACAGCCCACCACGCGCAGACTGACTGGTTATGGTGGTGAACAGCTCCCAGTAAAAGGCACATGCACTTTCAAATGCAAATACAAGGAAAGTGACATGATGTTTGACTTTTACATTGTTGACACTCGAGCACCTGCAGGTTTAGACATGGACCTCATCAAGCTAGTTGTATTAGTGACAGCACCAGTAGAGATAGATAATGTCATGGAGGAGTTTGGTGATGTTTTTACAGGAATAGGACTATTCCCAGGAGAATGTACCATTCTCCTTGACCCAGATGCAACCCCTGTGGTCTACCCACCGAGAAAGATTCCCCTTGCTCTCCGCGCCCGTCTGAAGAAAGAGTTGGAGAGCATGGAGCAATCTGACATCGTCACCAAGGTTACAGAACCGATGGATTGGGTCAATGCATTAGTTGTGGTGGAGAAACCACGCACAGGCAAGCTCAGAGTGTGTCTCGACCCAAGAGACTAGTACAAGGCTATCAAACACCCCCCATTTCCCCTTACTGACACTAGATGGCATCCCACACAAGCTAGCGGGCGCACACTCCTTCCGTGTCATGGACGTCAGATCAGGCTACTGGGCTATCAAGCTCACAGAAGAGTCATCTAAGCTCACAACATTCAACACACCGTTTGGACGCTACAGGTTCCGTCGCCTGCCTTTTGGGATTATCTCAGCCCAAGACGAGTTTCAGCGAAAGATCGATGAGGTGTACGAAGGCCTTGACGGAGTTGTGGCAATGGTGGACGACATCCTTGTCTATGGTCGAACCAAAGAGGAACATGACAGAAACCTCAGCGCGATGCCGCAAAGGTCCCGCGAGAGAGGAGTCCGGCTCAACACAGAGAAGAGCACAGTCGGCGCTACAGATGTCAGCTACTTCGGACATCTTCTCACAGCGAATGGAATCAAGCCAGATCCGCAGAAGATCTCAGCCATAAAGGAAATGGAGCCACCAAAGAACCGCGCAGAGCTGGAAACAGTGCTTGGCATGGTCAACTACTTAGCCAAGTTCGCACCAAGCCTCTCCAATGCTAATGCACCCCTGCGTCAGCTGCTAAAGCAGTCCAGTGAGTTCCTTTGGGACAAGCAACACGACATCACTTTCCAGAAAGTGAAAGACTTGATCAAGAGAGAACCAGGACCAATCCTTGCCTACTACGACCCCAACAAAGAGCTCAGACTCCAGGTGGACGCGTCAAAGTATGGACTAGGTGCAGTGCTACTGCAAGAAGGAAAACCCATCGGCTACGCTTCCAAATCTCTTAGACTGTGAACTCAACTACGCTCAAATCGAAAAGGAGCTGAACGCCATTCTGTTCGGATGTAAGCATTTCCATCAGTATGTCTATGGACGACAAGTCATTGTGGAATCCAACCACAAGCCCCTCGAGTCAATCATGAGGAAACTGTTAGCCGCAGCCCCGCCAAGGCTACAGAGAATGATTCTTCAACTACAAAAATATGACTTCACAATCACTCACCGTCCAGGCAAAGACATCCCTGTCGCAGACACACTCTCCAGGAAGTGTCTTACCTACAAGGACAGCAGCCTAAGTGAAGGCATGGACATGCAGGTGCACACTGTGTACAGCAACTTACCAGTTAGTGACACAAAACTGAAGGAAATCCGAGCAGAAACAGAAAAAGACAACTCACATAGCTGAGGAAAGTCATACAGTCAGGATGGCCTGAGGAGAGGAGAAAATGCCCTCAGAGCGTCTCAGAGTTCTGGAACCATCGTGACGAACTATCACAGATAAACATAATCATTTTCTAAGGAGAGAAAATCATCATTCCTACCAGTCTCAGAGAAGAGATTTTGACAAAGATCCATGTGGACACATGGGCATGGAAAAGTGCAAACAGAGAGCACGGGACATTTTGTTTTGGCCCGGAATCTGCAAACAAATAGAGGACATGGTTGGTAAATGCCCCATCTGTCTTGAATGACACCCCTCAAACATCAAAGAGCCAATGTTACTTCACCGTATCCCAGACAGACCCTGGCAGGTCGTGGCAACCGATCTGTTCACCTGAAACAATGAGGACTACATTATAACAGTGGACTACTACAGCAGATACTTCGAACTCGACAAGCTTCACAGCACCACATCTGCGATACACAAGCTGAAAGCTAAAATATATTTTATGTTTGAGATTCTTCAAAGTAGCCACCCTTTGCCTTGATGACAGCTTTGCACACTCTTGGCATTCTCTCAACCAGCTTCATGAGGTAGTCACCTGGAATGCATTTCAATTAACAGGTGTGTCTTGTTAAAAGTTAATTTGCAGAATTTATTTCCTTCTTAATACGTTTGAGCCAATCAGTTGTGTTGTGACAAGGTAGGGGGGTATACAGAAGATAGCCCTATCTGGTAAAAGACCAAGTCCATATTATGGCAAGAACAGCTCAAATAAGCAAATAGGTAAATATATATCAATATAAATATAAATCAATATATTTTGATTTGTTTAACACTTTATTGGTTACTACATGATTCCATGTGTTACTTCATAGATTGTCTCCACTATCCTTCTACAATGTAGAAAATAGTAAAAATAAAGAAAAACCCTTGAATGAGTAGGTGTGTCCAAACTTTTGACTGGTACAGTATATATTTAATCCATTTCAGAATAAGGCTGTAACGTAACAAAATGTGGAAAAAGTCTAGGGTCTGAATACTTTCCGAAGGCACTGTGTATTTCATATTTCATATTCCTCGTGTTTCTTTCTATTAATACATTGTTCTTGATTATTGCATTGTTGGGTTTTGAGTTTGCAAGAAAGGCATTTCATGGTTCTTGTGCATGTGACATTGAATCTTGAAACATTGAAATGTAAAAACATGCTAATTAGGTAGCCTACTGTGCTACTAATTTGTTTTTTTTGGAATGTGCATGTTTTGTGTAGGGTTCTTTTATCTAATTATCTGCAAGGATAATTTCTGCACTCAGGCAATATAGTAAATGTACATATGGGAGAGAAAACATTTATATTAAAGTAGTCCGAGAATAAGTTAAGAGAACAGCTTTTTATTACATTTTCCAATAACAGTACATTTTCGTACAGTATCCATCTTGCATCCAGCTCGCTGTGGAACACCAACATACTGAAATAAAATACAAAAGGTGAAAAGAGTACAAGGATGCAGAGCTCTATCTTATCAATGTAAAGAGAAAAGGGAATCCATCTCAATTAAATTGCAATTAATTTTACTTTTGGCCACACACAAATACATCACATTTATTGTACATCATCGCAGAAAAAGAAAAGTGAAAAATGTGTCACAACTATTAAAGAAAGTGCTTCTGTATACAGTGAAAAAAAATGATCTGTCATTCAGATGCTTTTTGACTTATTATTTAAAAGACCAAGAAAGAAAATATTACAAAATGTTTTAGTATGGACAGAAATCTGAGAATGTGTTTTTGTTCCATTGGTTGTGAAATGTTTTAAGTGAGATTGTGATCTCTGTTGGGTGGTTCACACAATCATTCCTTTATGAATTATTATAAAAAGTGGCATTATAACTGGTAAGCATATTTCACAGAGTCTGCAGTCAATATGAAATCCATTCTTCACTTTTAATTATCTGGTGCATGGCCTTGCCAGTGGAAGTACATAAATGTATACAGAGTCTAGCCAAAAATAACTTGAATAAAGTTCAAATTATAGTTAACAGGTTACTATCCTTATGAAAAAGACAGACTGACTTGGGCCTTTGCACCTTGGAAAGCAATTCTACAGCATGCACGCCTAAACCCATGGCAGACCAAAGAAATATGACATTTCAGATCATTATTTTCAGACATTGATTTGTACATTTCATTCACAGAATAGCAAATGCAGTTCCAAGCACAGGAAGGGTCTGTCTTTTAGTCTGGTGAGGTCTCTCACTGAGAAGTGGACACAAAAAATCCCCCACCCATTTAACTAAATCCAGCCTTGCCCCAAAAATAACAGAACCCACCCTAAATCCCTATTCCCCACCCAAATACCAAAAGACTGAGTTAAGGGGTCAACTGAAATTAAGTTACTCGTACCCTTTTGCATTGGAATGAGCATTCATCACAATTTATAGCATGTGCTTGGTTAGTTAACAGTATTAGTTGAGAAGCACATTTAATTTTTTGTGTGCAAAAAAGCTGTGATTAAACAAACCGCTAGTATATAAATACATCATAGAAATATTCTGAAAGCTGCAAATGTAATCTGGTCAAGCTTTTGCTTTCATGCTTTCTTCATGTTATTTTGTCTCATCTTTCTTACATGATTAAATTGGATTAAAATGAAAAGCTTTAAATTTTAAACATATCTAAAACCACTGAGGAAACACGACAAACGAAAGCCATTGAATAAAACTAAAACCTTCAGAGAATAGAATTCTTCAACAACAAAAAACACACAAAAAAAGTTAAATATTTGTACAATTATGCTCCAACATTTGCTTTCAAGACACATACATTTGCATGGGATGATAGTGTTGTTTTCTCATTCAAGGTAACATAAAATGGTCCAAGAAGGAATGCACAAGTTTTGGATTGGATACCACAGGAAAACTTTTAAACTATGTGATAAACAATTGTGCTCTTCTTTGTGTAGGAAAGGCATTGGTTTCCCTTCGTTTTTTTGTGGTTTCCAAGTCAGTTTAAAACGGTGTTGAAGAAGATGCTGTGAAATTTTACATTCTCAAGTTGTTGTAATGGTCTTCCAGTCAACTTTGGAGTTCAAAATTACATCTGAAAAAGGAAAAAAAGGAAAGAAAGGGCAAAGAGTGAGTCAGGGTTGAACTATACTGAACAATGCACTGTATACAAGTAGCTAAGGCTGAGCAATACTAAAAAGGGAAAGCACCTTCAGGTTTCAATTCCAGATCTTCAGAAAACTGTCCCAAGATCCTGTTGCAACTGCCATGCCATCATCAGTGACTCCCAGGCAGCTAACACGATTGTCATGTCCAGCCAACACACCTAAAACAGCACCAGTGTTAATCAAAGGACTTTTTGTGAAAAAACAAACAAACATGTATGCACGCATGACTGTAAGTCGCTTTGGATAAAAGCGTCTGCTAAATGGCATATTATTATTGTGCTGGGGATCTACTAGGATGCTGGGAATTATGCAGTTTCATTATGTTGACATTATAGATACGTTAAAATGTGCTTGAAACATCAGTTTATTGTGGTAGCTAAGTTAGTTATTTTGAATAAAACATTTCCAGGACAGGTTGTGTTTGACTAATATGTGCACAAGATAAACGTTGAGACATGCATGCTTGGTGTGCAAAGAGAAGTCTCCGCAGGTGTCGCATTAGCTTTCAGAAATCAGCGTTTTAAACCATTTCACCTGCAATTTTTGCTTCATTAGAGCGATCAGGGGCCTGCAACGGTTATATTTTCTTCACACCCCAAAACATTTTCTTCACGTTTTCATTAGATGACAATAAAAGTGCAACACTATTTGGCTAGCAGCCACACAAGTAAATTAGCTTAAAATGAAAGTTGCTTGAAGTTAATCTTACGACCGGAGAAAAAAACGACACCGGAGAAAAGTTTATGATTTGGAGTGAACTGTGACTGAAGCCGAGTACATTTTTAAATAAGAGGCCTTTTAGATCGGAGTTTACAAAATGCAGCAAAATATTTCCCCCCGCTTTTGTATGCATGAAAATATCCTGCGTTATTGCAACCTCTGCTTAGGAGTGTTATCAGTGACTCACCAGCACGGTCAGCTTTCAGTGTGTCCCACACGTTGCAATTGAAGTCGTCATATCCAGCCAGGAGGAGACGGCCACTCTTGGAGAAAGCAACAGAGGTGATTCCACAGATTATGTTGTCATGCGAGTAGCACATCAGCTCCTGGTCGGCACGAAGGTCAAAGAGTCTGCAGGTGGCATCATCAGAGCCCGTACAAAAGGCATTGCCATTGGGGAAGAACTGTAAAGCACAGATCAGATCACACAATAATTACTTACCGAGACTCTTAGACCTGGGAATTTCCAGGGACCTCTCGATACGAAAATCACGATACTTAGGTGCCGATACGATATGTATTGCATTTGTCACGATTCTATATGTATTGCGATTCAATACCGCGATTTTATTGTGATTTGATGTTCCAAACATAATGCTCACTATATGCCTGCTGCAGAGAGACAAGAGCATGAGAAAATGAGTTTTGATTAGTGATGGAAATAAGTGCTGAAAACATGTTCTCACTATTTAAAAAGATGATGAGAACAAGCTATAGGATGAAAAATAACAGAGTTTTGGCGCAGGCACAGCCGTCAAAGTATCGACATAATATCGTCCAAAATAATATTGCGATATGTAACTATCGATTTTTTCCACCATCACTAGAGACAACAGTAAAGGATATAATATAACTGACTATATTTACAGTGAGGGAAAAAAGTATTTGATCCCCTGCTGATTTTGTACGTTTGCCCACTGACAAAGAAATGATCAGTCTATAATTCTAATGGTAGGTTTATTTGAACAGTGAGAGAGAGAATAACAAAAAAATCCAGAAAGAACGCATGTCAAAAATGTTATAAATTGATTTGCATTTTAATGAGGGAAATAAGTATTTGACCCTTCTGCAAAACATGACTTAGTACTTGGTGGCAAAACCCTTGTTGGCAATCACAGAGGTCAGACGTTTCTTGTAGTTGGCCACCAGGTTTGCACACATCTCAGGAGGGATTTTGTCCCACTCCTCTTTGCAGATCTTCTCCAAGTCATTAAGGTTTTGAGGCCGACGTTTGGCAACTCGAACCTTCAGCTCCCTCCACAGATTTTCTATGGGATTAAGGTCTGGAGACTGGCTAGGCCACTCCAGGACCTTAATGTGCTTCTTCTTGAGCCACTCCTTTGTTGCCTTGGCCGTGTGTTTTGGGTCACTGTCAAGCTGGAATACCCATCCACGACCCATTTTCAATGCCCTGGCTGAGGGAAGGAGGTTCTCACCCAAGATTTGACAGTACATGGCCCCGTCCATCATCCCTTTGACGCGGTGAAGTTGTCCTGTCTCCTTAGCAGAAAAACACCCCCAAAGCATAATGTTTCCACCTCCAGTTTTGATGGTGGGGATGGTGTTCTTGGGGTCATAGGCAGCATTCCTCCTCCTCCAAACACGGTGAGAGTGAGTTGATGCCAAAGAGCTCGATTTTGGTCTCATCTGACCATAACACTTTCACCCAGTTCTCCTCTGAATCATTCAGATGTTCATTGGCAAACTTCAGACGGGCATGTATATGTGCTTTGTTGAGCACGGGGACCTTGCGGGCGCTGCAGGATTTCAGTCCTTCACGGCGTAGTGTGTTACCAATTGTTTTCTTGGTGACTATGGTCCCAGCTGCCTTGAGATCATTGACAAGATCCTCCCGTGTAGTTCTGGGCTGATTCCTCACCGTTCTCATGATCATTGCAACTCCACGAGGTGAGATCTTGCATGGAGCCCCAGGCCGAGGGAGATTGACAGTTCTTTTGTGTTTCTTCCATTTGCGAATAATCGCACAAACTGTTGTCACCTTCTCACCAAGCTGCTTGGCAATGGTCTTGTAGCCCATTCCAGCCTTGTGTAGGTCTACAATCTTGTCCCTGACATCCTTGCAGAGCTCTTTGGTCTTTGCCATGGTGGAGAGTTTGGAATCTGATTGATTGCTTTTGTGGACAGGTGTCTTTTTATACAGGTAACAAGCTGAGATTAGGAGCACTCCCTTTAAGAGTGTGCTCCTAATCTCAGCTCGTTACCTGTATAAAAGACAGCTGGGAGCCAGAAATCTTTCTGATTGAGAGGGGTTCAAATACTTATTTCCCTCATTAAAATGCAAATCAATTTATAACATTTTTGACATGCGGTTTTCTGGATTTTGTTGTTGTTATTCTGTCTCTCACTGTTCAAATAAACCTACCATTAAAATTATAGACTGATAATTTCTTTGTCAGTGGGCAAACGTACAAAATCAGCAGGGGATCAAATACTTTTTTCCCTCACTGTAACTATAATAATTTGTATATCAAATATATTTTGAATCAAAGTGAAATGTATACATTTTGATTGAATGTAATTATGTAAAATACACTAATAGGCAATACATGTGCATAGATTTAAGTATTGATAAAGGATGCTGCCCTTACACATATGGCGTTGATGTCAGACTCATGCCCAGTGAAGGTCTGTCTGCACATGCCCTCTCTGACATCCCAGAGCTTGGCGGAGGCATCACAAGCACCCGAGACAAATAGCCTTGTGTCGGGGGCCAAGGAGAGGCTCATGACATCACCGCTGTGCCCAGCAAACGTGGTTGTCTGCTGGCCAGTCTCAATATCCCAAAGCGCACTGTAAAAAAACAACAACATCTAGTCAAACAAGAAGCATGAGCTCCTATCCGAATGCACATCTAAACCACTTTAGGAAAATGAACAGTGTTGTAGTATTGAAAATAGACAGAGCGCAGCGTTCCTACAGGAGGGGGAGTAATTCCTTTACTTACCAGGTGGTGTCTCCAGAGCTTGTAATAATCTGGTTGTCATCAACGAAGCGACAGCAGGACAGATAACCTGGAATTGAGAGATATCATTTGTGCATTACAAAAACAATCTTGAGAAATCCAGAAATTTTCCCACAGCAGTCTTTAAGTAGCAGAAAACAAAAGATAAGGATTTCATAGGAAAACAAATGGAAGAAAAACCCTGCCACCAAACAGAAAATGTAGTCTCTACCTGTGTGTCCAGCAAGCTCCCGGCTCACACGTACATTCCCCTCACGTGTCTTCAGGTTGTAGATGGAGCAGATGTTGTCCAGACCTCCACAGGCCACGTAGTTTCCTGAAGGTGCATATGAGCAGGTCATGACCCAGGAAGAGCGTAGAGGAATGGCATGGACCTGCAAGGAGGTGATCAAAAAACATGAAACCTATGCACACCTGAAGTAATAATCTCTTATAACAGGTGCGTAGGCGAATAAAAAACTGAAGTAGAATGGTTGAAGGGACTGAATTCAACGCCTATAATTGCAATGGAAATGTATAGTACAAAGCAATGAAAGGTGAACCACTGAAGTATGACCTTGTTCGTGGTATAGCTGTCCCAAATGATGAGTTTACCATCTTGGGAAGCACTGACCAAGAGCCTGTGAGAAAGAGTAGAAACATGTAAGGTCATGGAATAACAGTTTCCCTATAAGAAATAGAAAGTATACATTGTTTTTTTTCAAACAATAACTACATTCTGCATGAAATAGAATAGCAAACTAAAAGCAATTTATCAAGACTGCTTTTGCCTTGTAACTTGACAATAATAGCAACAACACATGCTTAGTCATAACACCCACTGATATATTTAACACTCTCCCACTAGGACTACTGTATATCATGTGGAATCATAGAATCACCAATTCATGCCAAGGGTCATACAAATAAATATATACCATTCCAACTTTTACATTTGACAACGGGAGTCATTCAACTATTTGTCACTGCAAAAACTCCTAGTTTGTGAAAGACACTATAAAAGTATACTTGGGTTTACCTGGAATCAGTGCCCCAATGCATGGCATAGATCTTAGCCAAATGTCCCCTCAGTGTCCGTCTTGTGCGCATCTGAATACGGCCAACAGGATCAATGTTAGCTGTGATCTGCAAAACACAAAAAGACTGTTACATAATGCCACCAACAGCAGATTGTGTTGAATGTTTTGGATATCCCTAGGTAAAAGAGCCCATATACAATTATTTTTTACCTGTGATAGTGTGGCATCTGCACATGCTTTCCTGGCATCCTGAAAAAGTAAGGACGATAATAAACCATCACACAAATGTAATTAATAAATAATAAGTTCAAGATCATGTAGCTTTGTTATGACACTGTTGAGACTATTATGAGAGCAAAATGGCCAATTGCAACAACTGCTTGCCACTAGATTATCGCTACCCGATGTCTCGTTAAACCATCAATACGTGATAAAATCATCCAATCTCAATTGCAACTATCATCCGGCACCGATTTACCACTCCATAACACGGATGCCGGGGTTATCTTTAAATCCTGATTGCAAGAGGATTTCGACCTCTGGTGGGTATTAATCGGAACATTTTAATCTTGCTTATTGAGCAGACTAAAATGCTGACCACACCGCCGGCGTTGCATGCGCGAGCAAAATACATTTACACATACATGTTATTCAATCATTTCATCCAAACTGCTCTCGAGCGTCTGCATAGCCAGGCGCTAAAATAGAACTTGGTTCTATTTTTGATGCTTGACGCGCTGCAAGTCCCGCCTTAAGGAACATATACCCACCTGGGTGATTGAAAGACTAATTGAGGTCCACACTCCAGTCCAGTTGGTGGTGGTAATGCACCTTAAAGTTGGTTGCCAACTGCCATATAAAGTTTATAAAAAAGAACAAAAAGGAAATATCACATTTACATACACTACCGTTCAAAAGTTTGGGGTCACTTAGAAATTTCCTTGTTTTCAAAAGAAAAGCAATTTTTTTGTCCATTAAAATAACAACAAATTGATCAGAAATACAGTGTAGACATTGTTAATGTTGTAAATGGCTATTGTAGCTGGGAACGGCTGATTTTTTATGGAATATCTACTTAGGCGTACAGAGGCCCATTATCAGCAACCATCAGTCCTGTGTTCCAATGGCACGTTGTGTTTGCTAATCCAAGTTTATCATTTTAAAAGGCTAATTGATCATTAGAAAACACTTTTTGCAATTATGTTAGCACAGCTGAAAACTGTTGTGCTGATTAAAGAAGCAATAAAACTGGCCTTCTTGAGACTAGTTGAGTATCTGGAAAATCAGCAATTGTGGGTTTGATTACAGGCTCAAAATGGCCAGAAACAAATAACTTTCTTCTGAAACAAGTCAGTCTATTCTTGTTCTGAAAAATGAAGGCTATTCCATGCGAGAAATTGCCAAGAAACTGAAGATCTCATACAATGCTGTGTACTACTCCCTTCACAGAACAGCGCAAACTGGCTCTAACCAGAATAGAAAGAGGAGTGGGAGGCCCTGGTGCACAACTGAGCAAGAGGACAAATACATTAGAGTGTCTAGTTTGAGAAACAGACGCCTCACAGGTCCTCAACCGGCAGCTTCATTAAATAGTACCCGCAAAACACCAGTCTCAATGTCAACAGTGAAGAGGCGACTCCGGGATGCTGACCTTCTAGGCAGAGTTGCAAAGAAAAAGCCATATCTCAGACTGGCCAATAAAAATAAAAGATTAAAGATGGGTAAAAGAACACTGGACAGAGGAAGATTTGAAAAAAGTGTTATGGACAGACGAATCGAAGTTTGAGGTGTTCAGATCACAAAGAAGAACATTTGTGAGACGCAGACCAAATGAAAAGATGCTGGAGGAGTGCTTGATGCCATCTGTCAAGCATGGTGGAGGCAATGTGATGGTCAGGGGGTGCTTTGGTGGTGGTAAAGTGGGAGATTTGTACAGGGTAAAAGGGATCTTGAAGAAGGAAGGCTATCACTCCATTTTGCAACGCCATGCCATACCCTGTGGAATGGCACTTGATTGAAGCCAATTTCCTCCTACAACAGGACAATGACCCAAAGCACAGCTCCAAACTATGCAATAACTATTTAGGGAAGAAGCAGTCAGCTGGTATTCTGTCTATAATGGAGTGGCCAGCACAGTCACCGGATCTCAACCCTCTTGAGCTGTTGTGAGCGCAGCTTGACTGTATGGTACGTAAAAAGTGCCCATCAAGCCAATCCAACTTGTTGGAGGTGCTTCAGGAAGCATGGGGTGAAATCTCTTCAGATTACCTCAACAAATTGACAACTAGAATGCCAAAGGTCTGAAAGGCTGTAATTGCTGCAAATGGAGGATTCTTTGACGAAAGCAAAGTTAAGGACACAATTATTATTTCAATTAAAAATCATTATTTCTAACCTTGTCAATGACTACATTTCCTATTCATTTAGCTATATTTCCTATTCAAACTCATTTCATGCATGTTTTCATGCAAAGAAAAAGCCATCTCAGACTGGCCAATAAACAGAAAAGATTAAAAAGATGGGCAGTCTGAGATATGGCTTTTTCTTTGCAACTCTGCCTAGAAGGTCAGCATCCAGGAGTCGCCTCTTCACTGTTGACATTGAGACTGGTGTTTTGCGGGTACCGTTTAATAAAGCTGCCGGTTGAGGACCTGTGAGGCGTCTGTTTCTCAAACTAGACACTCAAATGTATTTGTCCTCTTGCTCAGTTGTGCACCGGGGCCTCCCACTCCTTTCTATTCTGGTTAGAGCCAGTTTGCGCTGTTCTGTGAAGGGAGTAGTACACAGCGTTGTATGAGTTCTTCAGTTTCTTGGCAATTTCTCGCACGGAATAGCCTTCATTTCTCAGAACAAGAATAGACTGACGAGTTTCAGAAGAAAGTTATTTGTTTCTGGCCATTTTGAGCCTGTAATCAAACCCACAATTGCTGATGCTCCAGATACTCAACTAGTCTCAAGAAGGCCAGTTTTATCGCTTCTTTAAATCAGCACAACAATTTTCAGCTGTGCTAACAATTGCAAAAGTGTTTTCTAATGATCAATTAGCCTTTTAAAATTATAAACTTGGATTAGCAAACACAACGTGCCATTGGAACACAGGACTGATGGTTGCTGATAATGGGCCTCTGTACGCCTAAGTAGATATTCCATTAAAAATCAGCCATTTCCAGCTACAATAGCCATTTCCAACATTAACAATGTCTACACTGTATTTCTGATCAATTTGATGTTATTTTAAATGGACAAAGAAAATTGCTTTTCTTTCGAAAACAAGGACATTTCTAAGTGACCCCAAACTTTTGAACAGGTAGTGTAACTATTCAGACCCTTTATTCAGTACTTTGTTGAAGCACCTTTGGCAGCGATTACAGCCTCAAGTCTTCTTGGGTATGACACTACAAGCTTGGCACACCTGTGTTTGGGGAGTTTCTCCCATTCTTCTCTGCAGATCCTCTCAAGCTCTGTCAGGTTGGATGGGGAGTGTCGCTGCACAGCTATTTCCAGGTCTCTCCAGAAATGTTCGATCAGGTTCAAGTCCGGGCTCTGACATTCAGAGACTTGTCCCGAAGCCACTCCTGCATTGTCTTGCCTGTGTGCTTAGGGTCGTTGTCCTGTTGGAAGGTGAACCTTCGCCCCAGTCTGAGGTCCTGAGCGTTCGGGAGCAGGTTTTCATCAAGGATCTCTATGTACTTTGCTCCGCTCATCTTTCCCTCGATCCTGACTAGTCTCCCAGTCCCTGCTGCTGAAAAACCTCCCCACAGCATGATACTACCACCACCATGCTTCACCGTAGGGATGGTGCCAGGTTTCCACCAGACGTGACGCTTGATATTCAGGCCAAAGAGTTCAATCTTGGTTTCATCAGACCAGAGAATCTTGTTTCTCATGGTCTGAGAGTCTTTAGGTGCCTTTTGGCAAACTCCAAGCGGGCTGTCATGTGCCTTTTACTGAGGAGTGGCTTCCGTCTGGCCACTCTACCATAAAGGCCTGATTGGTGGAGTGCTGCAGAGATGGTTATCCTTCTGGAAGGTTCTCCCATCTCCACAGAGGAACTCTGGAGCTCTGTCAGAGTGACCATCGGGTTCTTGGTCACCTCCCTGATCAAGGCCCTTCTCCCCTCAGTTTGGCCGGGCGGCCAGCTCTAGGAAGAGTCTTGGTGGTTCCAAACTTCTTCCATTTAAGAATGATGAAGGCCACTGTGTTCTTGGGGACCTTCAATGCTGCAGAAATGTTTTGGTACCCTTCCTCAGATCTGTGCCTCGACACAATCCTGTCTCGGAGCTCTATGGACAATTCCTTCAACCTCATGGCTTGGTTTTTGCTCTGACATGCACTGTCAACTGTGGGAGCTTATATAGACAGGTGTGCGCCTTTCCAAATCATGTCCAATTAATTGAATTTACCACAGGTGCACTCCAATCAAGTTGTAGAAACATCAAGGATGATCAGTGGAAACAGGATGCACCTGAGCTCAATTTCAAGTCTCATAGCAAAGGGTCTGAATACTTATGTAAATAAGGCATCTGTTTTTTTATTTTTAATACATTTTCAAAAAACCTGTCTTTGCTTTGTCATTATGGGGTATTGTGTGTAGATTGATGAGGGGTAAAACAATTGAATCCATTTTATAACAAGGCTTTAACTTAACAAAATGTGGAAAAAGTCAAGGGGTCTGAATACTTTATGAATGCACTGTATATCCCAGGACTAATTAGCTAGCAACAGCCAGCTAGCTTGCTAATGATCATGAATGTTTTAATGTGTTTCGACCTGTCCCCAAATACTTGGTTCAGAGTTCGTTTTGATATTTCAACCTGCGTGTCCTGATCGCGTCTGGTGTGGATGGACAAAATCAACATGAGTGCGTCGGCGCACAAGGACGCGCGTGCCCAGTCTAGTCACATGTAAGGGTGATTTATCTATTTGACAATCATTCCGTACAACCAAAATAGTATTTCCTCATTTACCACAGCAAATCTACTATGGCAATGAGCCATACCCTACACATTTATGAATGGAAGACATGGTCTAGGATACATGTTTTCTTCTCCAATTTATGTAATCCATTAATGATTTTACTTGTCCTAATAAAACATGGTCAGTTCTTATCAAGAGGGGAAAATGAAACATTACTGAACTGTAGGCTACACATTTGAAACTAAATCGTGATTGTTATTATTATTTACCCCCTTTTTCGATCTTGTCTCATCGCTGCAACTCCCCCAACGGGCTCGGGAGTCAAAGGTCGAGTCATGCGTCCTCCGAAACATGACCCGCCAAACCACGCTTCTTAACACCCGCCCTCTTAACCCGGAAGCCAGCCGCACCAATGTGTCGGAGGAAACACAGTTCACCTGACGACTGCAGGCGCCGGCCCGCCACAAGGTGTCACTAGAGCGTGACGAGCCAAGTAAACCCTCCCCTAACCCGGACGACGCTGGGCCAATTGTGCGCCGCCCTATGGGACTCCCGATCATGGCCGGATGTGATACAGCCCGTGATCGAACCCGGGTCTGTAGTGCCTTAGACCGCTGTGCCACTCGGGAGGCCCAAGTTCTGTTGTATTTTTAATCAAATTGCGTTATACACTAATAAAGTTTATTTAAAAGTTGCACAAATTATATTATAATTGATTTTTTTGTGTGGTTAGACTAGTAGTTAAGAGTAATATTTTCTATGTTGTGTGGATAGCGGAGATTTATTTATTTGTAGAATATGAACGCTCAATAGTGAACCATTATATTTTCTTACAGGACTACAAGGCCAGTAGGCCTACTGTAGCATATTGTACTTTATTGAAGAAGCAATGTCTTAATTGGAAAGAAATGTGGTAGGGATTTCTTATTATTTGGAAGTCGTTATTTTTTTTGGTACTTTCTACCCATTTTTCTCCCCAATTTCATGATATCCAATTGGTAGTTACAGTCTTGTCCCATCGCAGCAACTCTCGTACGGACTCGGGAGAGGCGAAGGTCGAGAGCCATGCGTCCTCCAAAACACGACCCTGCCAAGCCGCACTGCTTCTTGACACACTGCTCGCTTAACCCGGAAGCCAGCCGCACCAATGTGTCAGAGGAAACACCGTACAACTGGCGACCGAAGTCAGCTTGCAGGCGCCCGGCCGCCACAAGGAGTCGTTAGAGCGCGATGAGACAAGGAAATCCTGGCCGGCCAAACCCTCCCCTAACCCGGACGACGCTGGGCCAATTGTGCGCCACCTCATGGGTCTCCCGGTCACAGCCGGCTGTGACACAGCCTGCTATCAGTTTATTCCAAGTAATAATTTAAGACTACAAAAATCTATAGGACAAGTAGTCTAAATCTAATACAGTCATCAAGGCAGGACCCACTAATTTTATTCATACTGACAAATAAGAAATGCCACATTATCCCTGTCAATAGTTGGAGTAGGATGATTGCAGAGCACACTGCCTCAGACTGTCAGGATCATCATTTTCTAGCTCACAAACTATACTGAACAAAAATATAAAATGCAAAATGGTTTATTTGATTGATTTGTTGTTTCTTTTGTTTAAGTACATTACTAAACGTCCCCCGAGGGATAACCTTGAGATTTGGTTGTTGTCTGGTTATTTTAGTTCATTACACCCCACATTTCTTCCCCAGCCATCTAGTTTACCTTGTGTGCGCAGGCCCAGGCATTTACCTCTCCTCCTCAGACGAACTACACCCGAGGGGAGAACGTAACAGTCCCACAACTACCTTATTTTGCAATAGCGTAGGCCTAATATGACATGTATTTATTAGACTGCCGTTAGAATGTTGACGTCAAGAAGACTTGTCAATGGCTTAAGTACGGCGGTATCGAGGCCAGGCTTTTCTAGTGTTAAGGAAATAGACGTCTGGCTCAACTAGAAGCCTGTCTCTAATAAGCAACGGTTGTGTTCAGTGATTGACGCAAGTAAAACGCCCTGGCTATTAATTGAAGTTTTACGGTATGTCATAGTCTTCCATTTATCTTTAATATTTCGATTTCGTTGTTCCTTATAGGATGTTATTTCATTGGGGCGGGAGTAGTGAACGCAGACAATTACTATTTCCCATGCCATATCCACTCTAGTATTAAGCCGGCTTGACACCGTAACGGCATCAGAACAGCTGGCCTACCAGTTTTATTCGGATGTTTTTTCGTTGCAATCAAGCTTAGTTTAGCCCGCAGCTGCATGTAATCTCCCGTTAGTAGAGTTTTAAGAAATCCTGCAGGAGCAGGTTAAGTTCTGTGTGTTCATTGCAATCGAGCCAATAGTGCTGAAATACACCATTTCAGTACGTTTTGAACAATTGCTCCTGCCCCATTGATGGTAGATGGAGGGATTAACACTCACTCTGATCTGGTTTTTGAGCTGCTCAGCCTCCTGGCGTAACTGGTCCAGTTCACTCATTTTCCCCTGCTAGTATGTCTACCTCGCTCCAGCTGCCGGGACACTTGTTGATCTGAAAGAGGAAGGAAAAAAGAGTCGCAGTCTCAGAAAACAACTGACATCCCTCAGACATTATTTATGGTACTAAACAATGAACAATAAGTATATGACAAATCATGAATAAAAATAGCCTGGCTTGGAAAATGTGTAATCAACTGTCAATATCATGTTGACCATCTCCTCCCCTCATTGTACTGTAAAAGCACATTTGAAATGGCCCAATTCAGACAACCAAAGCTAGATGTCCTTATGTTACAAAATAACCTTTTCCAGAAAACATCATATGATACATTGAATCACCCGTCCAAGGATAGGGCAAATTTTAATAAAGCAGTGTGGCTCTTCAATTAACAGGCTAATTACGCATAATCGATTTGTCGATGAACTTTATTGTCCTCTTCAAAGAACTCTGACAGAAAACTGATTTTCGGGAAGTAGTAGCCACTTTCCCGCCACAGGGAAACGTATTGTGTAGTCATTAGGCTACATGACAACTATTGTGTAATAGATAGAAGTGCATCAGTGCTGACACTGTTGCTTTGGCTAGTGCAGGCCCACACTCCCATAGCCTCCATTACAGTCCTTCTGTTGGCTTGGCCAGTGCAGCAGGCCCATACACTCAGAGCGCCTTTCTTTCCCCCTGCTCTCACACCACCGTGCTACTGACTCGGTCCCATCTTCTCACCTCAATGTTAGTGACATAATCCTGAGACACTTTATTTAGCCTCTCTAGCAAAATCCTGTAAAGACATGACTGGACAATGATCCGAAAAGTAGCTGTTATCCTGCTGACCCCAATCCACTGGATGCTCACTGGTTTAGCCAATGGTGCCAACTGCCAAGTGATCAAAACCTCATTTATATGGATACAGGCTGATCTGATCACACTCTTCAGGGCAACCTTAACACACAATTTACCCAAAATAGTAGCCTAAAGTGTTGATCTTCCTATTAGTCAAGTAATTCCAAACATGGCCATAGGAAACACATAGGCCGCCTAGGTCATTTTCAAGAACCGCTAAAGTCTTCGCTGAATAATAGCATTACACATGTAAAATAAAATAAATGCCACTGATGCCTACTATCTAACCAATTAATTATAGGGAAATACTGCACCAAGATAAAGCCTCCCAAATAACTCCTAGTACACCAACATGACTATCAGATTACATAAGTAACATTTCCCCCCTAATTCGGATAACATTTAAGAGAGAAAAAAAAGCAAGCTGTGAATTACGTGAATGGAGAGCTGATCCACACACCTGCATTGTGAAAGGTAGCAGTAATGCAGGAAACAGTATAGACCTCACATTCCCATAAGATTGGATTAGCCTATTTGGAAATGAATGAAGACATTGAATTAAAAGATAAGAACTAAAATCAAAATCACAGTGCAGCTAGCTCGCCTGCTCTTGGTCTTCGCTGATGATGCGAGTGTGTGTTCAGTCTTCGGTCTGTTACGCGTAACATATCCTAGCCTATTCATTGATGATCGGCTTTACTGAAGTTGCGAGACACTGCAAGCCAAGAAATTGCAAAAATACAGCATTCCAATAGATAGACCTAGTGCACGGTTCTGACTCAGCCTGCCTGGTGGCCAACCTGCCTATAATGTGTCCCTCCCCTCTCTTTGAGTCCCTCGAGTGTTCGTGTTCTCGGCAGTATGGAAACTAATCAGTCTCCTCCGTTCCAAAAGTACTGAATCTTAGGAGTCGATTCCTAAAGGAAGATGTGTTTTCTTTCTACTAAATGTCTTGGTAAGTCACGTTATTTAACTAACTTTAAAGTACTTTTTTAGGAGAGCGTGGTCTGTGCACAGGCAGCTCAAGATTATTTGATTGACAGTTCTGGTCGCCTAGTGATGGACGTTAGTCCCGCTTCAGAAGTGGCATTCCTTTACAGACAAGTAAAATGCCTGTTCAGTGGCGCTTTGAAACTACCTCCAGAGAAGGTTTTGTTTCTGCATTTAAAAAGCAGTAGTGTACCCTTAGACAAACAAACATATATGGTATATGACTACGGTAGATATAACTTAATTGCCCAGCCCTAGCGGTCATATGTACGCAATAGGACCATTATTCTACATTTTGAATTGATGTGGATCATTCCCCCCCCCTTTTTTTTAAACAATAATTTTAAGGAAAACCGATAAAGAAATATGCAGTTTAAACGTTAAGCAAAATGTGTCACGTCCCTAAGAACTATAATAAAAACCGTTTCATTTTAGCCAGTTCTTCCTCCTAGCTAACCCCATCACCTTACGTCATGTACAGTTTTTCACTCAGTACGGTCCCCAAGAATTTGAGTGCTAGACTGAGGATGTTCTCTAAACTTATCACCTGATCCTCGAAGGTCCTCTCCGATTGGCTAGCCCTCATATCTAGCTAGTCATTGCACATTCATCTTCTAGTCTTGCTGATAAATGTATCACTGTTAAAGTAAGGCCGGGACGATACCAGTATCGCAATGCTCGTTAGTATCATGGCAAGGAAACAAAACACGAAGCGGATTTAACTTCTTTAGGAACACAGCCCAAAATGTTGGAAACAAACATGTTGTCATCCAGAGTCACATGTATTTATTTTCTAAGCTAAAGCACACAATATTTTACATACAGCAGATTTTTTAAATGACCAAAGAGTTGAATCTGCTTCGGGTTTTCATTTTTGTCATGGGAAAAAATATTGCGATACTGGTATCATCACATCCCTATGTTAAAGGCAGACTCAGCGATATGACATTACCACGAGGACCACCGCAGATAGATATTGAGATGAGCGAGATGCAAGACGTCGTACTCACACAGTATGTGCGTGGGTTCACTTCACACTGTTAGAGCGTGGTAGCCAGGGCCCCAAAACAGTGGAGAAGTTGAGCCTTGTGCTTCAACACTCTTAGTTGTTGCATAAATATGCTGTTTACTTTCTGCATCTACGTCATATCGCCAAGTCTACCTTTAAGTCCATGACTACTTCCCTCCACATCCTTCCTAGAGACATCGAGGAAGAAATTGTGTATTGAATGAACCTTAACATGAGAAGAGTGACTAACATCATGAATCAGGAGGGAGACACTAGGCCTAGACCTATAATTCAGTGTAAAGCACTAATTATTGTTGTATCAGAATGTGGGACGTAGAATGTCACCACTAATCATGGCAGAGATAAAATGTAATTAAAATCTTCCAATTCTGCACTGGCATTTGTCCAAAGACCTCATTCATTGAGCTTGATGTTAAAGCCTGGTTTTAAGTTACTTTGAGTCAATTTAAGCACACAATTCAGAAGCTGCTCAAGCCTAAATGTAGGACAGTCACACTTCTTCCCTGCACTACCTCAGGGTAAGAAAACAATGAACAAATTCTAAAATGTGGGTGAACTAGATGCTCTTGGAGTCTGTCCATTAGCCCTAACTGTAAGGAGTTTCTCTGCCCCCCATCATGTCTTCATGCGCCTGATCAGGGTCAGCTGACTGCATGATAAACAGGGAGTTGTGGCAAATAGCCTGGAGTTGTGGCTTACTGACTGCTCTGAGGTCTCTTGAGGGCAGCCGGAGTCTGCTGCTCCCCATAATAGCAGCAGTTCCAATGGGGTTTGGGCATTATAACAACAACCAACGTGTTGTGACAAAAAATCTCATGAGAACAGAATCTTGAACATAGCATTTCTGCTCCCTAGAATTCACGTTTCTTTCGACCATAAATGTTTTCATCATGTGTTTGTTTCCATGCAGGCAGACAATACATTCACCTTTCAGAGCAGAATCTCACCGTCACTAGCCGGCTACCACCCGGTACTCTATCCTGCACCTTAGAGACTGCTGTCCTATGTACATAGTCACTGAACACTGGTCAGTTTAATAATATTTACATCTATATACTGTATTCTAAGGTTAGGCAGTTCCATATTTTCATATCGTCATAACATCCTCTCATCCCGGGTTGTACTGTATTACCGGCTTAGTACACAAGGGGGCACCAAATAACTTTTTTAAAGCCCATTGGGCGTCCATTACGAGAATGCTAACATAATTAGCACAAGTAATTTCCATATGGAAGCTGCTAGCTAAATATGCTAACAAACGAAAATAAACTTATTGCGAAGAAAGGCTATCCAGCTCAAAGTTATACATACAGTGCATTCGGAAAGTATTCAGACCCCTTGACTTTTTACACATTTTGTTACGTTACAGCCTTATTCTAAAATTGATTAAATTTATTTTTCTCCTCATCAAGCTACACACAATACCCCATAATGACAAAGCAAAAACAGGTTTAGAAATGTTTGCCAATTTATTAAAATATAAAAAACGGAAATGTTACATTTACATAAGTATTCAGATCCTTTACTCAGTACTTTGTTGTAGCACCTTTGGCAGAGATTACAGCCTTGAGTCTTCTTGGGTATGAAGCTACAAGCTTGGCACACCTGTATTTGGGGAGTTTCTCCCATTCCTCTCTGCAGATCCTCTCAAGCTCTGTCAGGTTGGATGGGGAGCGTCGCTGCACAGCTATTTTCAGGTCTCTCCAGAGATGTTCGATCGGGTTCAAGTCCGGGCTCTGGCTGGGCCACTCAAGGAAAATACGCTCTTTTGTTTCTTTTTTTGCATATTTTCAGTGTGGAACCTGTCTATGTTTAGGGGGGTTATAGCCTAGGCTAACCAATTCTAAATGTATTCTAAGCAGCTTAAGCTGATAATAGACGGGATGCAATTATTCCTAGTTACATGTACATATCTTACTCAACCACAGGAGGCTGCTGAGGGGAGGACGGCTCATAATAATGGCCGGAACAGAGTCAATGGAATGGCATCAAACATATGGAAACCATGCGTTTGATGTATTTGATACCATTCCACTAATTCCGCTCCAGCCATTACCATGAGCCCGTCCTCCCCAATGAAGGTGCCACCAACCTCCTGTGAGCTCAACTACCTCATACCCCTGCACATCCAATCGGTAC